AGATTCACCAATGAAGACCTCTATCCCTCAGCCTCAACCCCAGGTTCCAGCAGAGCTCGATCACTAGCAGCAAAATATAAGCATCATTCCAAATTATTACATTTCTTACCTCAATATTGAATTATGAAATATTATACTCCACTTACCTGTTTTAGAACCCATTGTAAAGCCTTTTCAAAATAATCTGAAATCCAGTTTTCAAGATTACTTCTATAATTAATAGGCTGATTCCTCAACCAAGATTTTATGAGAGAATTAACATCTGTGTCTTCATCACTAAAAGAAATTAACATGAAACAAAGAAATTTAGAAAGAAAGTATAAATTTACTTTCAAACAAATTTATGCTCCAAAGTGGATCATTCAACACATTTATTTTGTCTCCTAGTACATAAGACTTACTTTGGCTACTTCTGTATGTGTACCCATGTGTAATAATTAATAGTACCCCATCCCACTAATTAAAAGGTCCCTATTTAGTCTGTTTCATAGAAAATACTCAGATTAGGGCCGGCCAAATAGCTCAGTGGATTAAAGTGCCTGCAAGCAGGAACAGGGGCCGGGGGTTGCATCCCCAGGCCTGCCATGCCAGCCTCACCCCTGGGGCACATTGAGACGAAGATTGAGACTGGGCGTGGTGGCAAATGCCTATAATCCCAGCACTTGGGAGGCTCTAAACAGGGAGATCACTATGAGTCCATCTAGTAGTGAGACCCTGAACACTCTGTAGACCCTTCCCTAAAATAAAAAAAAATACTCAAATTTAACTATAAACTTATTTTTACTCTACTTTTCCCAAAAGATTATAAGAATACATTGGATAATTTTTATATATGCTGTTATGAAACTATAAATTCAGTTACATTATTTTTAATAATACCTCATATTAATTGAAGTTCATGGTTAACTTAATGTAACTATTTTACAATATTGTCAAGGAAATAAATCATTTTAAAACACAATCCTAACCTAACTGATTACACTACCATGTGTCTCACACTGCCTTCATTTCTGAGGCCCCAAGTAGTGAGCACTGTGTAAGGGTGATAAATAACAAGTTCTAAAACATAAAATCAAAATGGTAAAATAAAACTTCCTTATTTATAGCAAACTATTACATTTTGGGAAATGAAATTGACTCAAATGTCCCCGGTAGTAACATATACCTAAATTAATTCTTTTTTGCTCTTTAAGCTTCTTCCAAATACTGAAAAAGACAACATCAAAGCGATTTTTTTCCTTCTGTAAAAGGGATAAACTGGACCATAAGATCTATTAGACCTAAAATTCTATAAATGCAAGATCATATGATTAAAATACTGTTACTAAGCTTGAAAACTTCCCAATTAGTATGTCCACTTCTCTGGACTCAATTATATTTAAATAAACAGAAAAAAAATTTGCTCTTTCCCTAAATACACAAAAATATTATTATCTAGTATGTATAATACAACTAAACTGCTGAAATAATTCAAATAATTCAATATAACAAAATAATTCTGAATGAATTAAACTTTCACAAAAAAAGAATGCAACGGGCAAAATAAATATTTACATATTTTTATACTTATTTCCTATAAAACAAAATAAGGAACATGCTAATACAATATATGTAAATTCTCTATGGCTTACCTAAGAAATATCATTCCCATCCTAGATATTGTGGCCGGTGAGGCACAACTTAAGTCGTGAGTTTCAAATACAAAGTTAACATTTGGGCCGAACTGAATCCTCTCTCCACTAGGCATAGTGAGGAGCCGGTTATCATCGAGCACAGAATTGAGAGATTCTATCCACTCGGGGTCAATGTCGCCATCGCAGATGATCCACGAGCTGACGTCTGCTTCCAACCACAACAGAGGAGATCATTAATGTGTGCATGTGTTTATGTAGTGAGAGCAATTAAGCATAAGGGGTAAACGAGCGCTCTCTTATTCAGAAGTGATTTGCATGGGCAGTCGGTATTATTAAAGCTGAGCATAAGAATAAAAAGTTGATCCAGCTGAAATTTCTCAGATGAATTTGTACTATAGATCTGCTAAAAAAAAAAAAAAATGAAAGAAGCCCACCAGTAATGCTGCCTTAGCTGGCCATATCAGCTACCACGTGAAAATGCCTTACTTATCCATACGCACACAGAACTGGACCCCTGAAAGCAGCACAGAAGACGAACTTCTACTCCCATGAGGTCTCTATGAAATACTCCTCAAACTGTTCTCTTCTGTGATATGATAATATCTAAGTGTTTGCTAATGTGACATTTCTTTCAGAAAATATAGAAAGCTCAATTTTCAGTATCCTGCATGAGAAATAATGGACTCCTGTCACTTTCATAGATGAAGATAACCTCGAAGGGAAAAAGCAAGGACCAGGTTGTATGCACAGTCTTTTCCAGAACATTTACATTCTCTTTCTTAAACTGGAAGTAGTTCAAGGTGTGCTTAAAATTTGTAACAATTAAAAGAGGAAAATGTCATCGACAAAAGCATGAGAAATAAGTGAAGGTAATCTATCTGATCCATTATTTAATGTGACACACAGAAATGAGGACCACTGAAAATCCTTTCCAACATTTTAGAATTCCAGTATCTTCCAATTTCACTAAGTGCCTTAGGAAAGCAGCTATTAATAATGATCTAAAGATTTGTTCTAATAGTGTCTGTGGACAGGATGTCATGTCTGCATCTTGTACAATGAATAACCACTATGAAGAGAACAATATGCAATGTATTAGTTATTGAAACTGTCCTACTAATCAGTTTTGAAACTGTCTCATTGCTATTTGTTTCTCAATAAAATTATTAAAAAAATAATAATCATCTAACAAAATGAAAGTCTGATTTTTTTTGGACAAAAAATGCTCTTAAGGAGCAAGGCAAAAAAAAAAAAAAAAAAAAAAAAAAAACCATGACCAGGAAACCTATGTTACCACTTAAAATTTCAAAATTATTCAGAACAATCTATTCGAATTTACAAGTTAGGGGCTGGGGAGACGGCTCAGTAGAATAAGCGCTTCCCTAACAAGCGCAAGGGACTGAGTTCAATCCCCCGGTTCTGCCAAAAAAAAAAAAAAAAAAAAATTGACAAGTTAATAGTGTTGACACACATCAGTTATAAGGCATTATGATAACAACTCAGCTATCACCAATTTTATATTTCGTCACTAAATTAGTCTTGTTTATAATTTATACAAGTTACTCCTACTAAGGTTGTAAGACAACATTACATCAAAATTACAGCATATCTTAATAAAATATCAAAAATGCACAATTATAAAATATTTTACATTAATATCTATCTTGACAAGGATAACATTATAGGCAAGTTCTATTATTCCCTAAGAATTATTATGTAACTCAATGAATGACACAGTGGACACTAACCTTGTGGCTCCCGAACGACTTGGCGAGCACTATTCGTCAGAACACCATCAGACCATTCCCGCGTATCCACATCAATGTGGCCAAGCAGCTGATGCCGAGGCATGGCTTTCGGATTCATGGTGTACTGCTTCACCACTCGGCCAATCTTACAGAGCGCTGCCCTTAACATTCTCCAGAGAGTTGACTTGCCAGAACCACTTGGACCAACAATAACGACTCCCATCCTCTGGCGTAACTGTTCGTACAGTTCTAAAGCCTTCTTGATCTAGCAGAAAAGAGTGTGCTTAAATATCATTTATAATATGCATGTTCAGTTTTGTTTCATTCTACATAATTTTTCTGTTCCAAACATGTAAGTTCAGCCCTTGATTTCTTCAGTGGAAGATAAACAGAACAGCCAAATAAATTTTAAAATAACTGCAACAAAATTTTCAAATTCAATATTCATTTAAAATAAGTAAAAATATTTTCTGTATATTTAGTACTATAAGAGCTATCATTTTCTTTACTCATTCTTACATAAAAACAGACTCATTATTTCATTCACTTATTCATTCAGTCATCCACATACATCTTGTATCTCTCAAAGATTGTCTAAGGAAAAACCATTCATTTTAAATAACTATTTATGATACACAAATAGGCTCACTAAAAAGAGTTTCTCCAAGGAAATTATCAAAATGAAACTAAATCAGATATAATCAAATATCAAAAACTATGATGGATTTATTACACGCCAGATAATATATACAGATGTTATCTTCCATAAAGATTATCTGGTGAAACAGAATAGCAATCAAACTTTAAAAAGCAAACATGTACAAGGGGAGCATTTTCTTTTCGTAGTACTTAGGATGGAGCCTGAGGGTGCTCCATCTCTGAACTACGTCCCTAGCCCTTTCCATTTTTTATTTTGAGATGGTGTTTCCCTAAGTCACCCAGGTGAGACTCGCACCTGCAACCCTCCTCTCTTAGCCTCCCAAGGGAAATGAAGGCACAGAGCAAAAGGCTATAATCAGGCCTTTACGACTGAAGAAGGCTTCCCTGAGCAAGTAAGATTAAAGCTGAAAGAGGAAAGATGAGTTCAAAAATGTATGATAAAGATAATTATTACCCAAAAAGTAAGAAAAAAGTAATAAAAATTATTATAATAATAGAACATTATAAAACATTCTTGACAGTTACCTGATTGGGTATGATTTCATAATTGGCCTCTTCAAAGACTTGCTTTAGTGCTGTGCTCAGTTCACTGTATTCTACTTCTTTAAAGTCAACTCCAGGAAAGACATCTTTAATCAGCGCGTCAAATCGGGTGCAATCAGCAAACGTAAACTTCGACATTGTATTAAGCCTCAATGCTTGCACCACCACCCGACTTTCATTAGCTAGAGAAAGAGCATCATCTTAGGGTTATCTGTTATCAATTTAATGGCCACAAAGTTTGTAAATTTATTTTACTGGCTTCATAAGCATTATTATTAAGTAATGCACAAGAAACATATACAGACATACCAAATCAGGTAAACTGACAAATACATTATCTAATAATTACTGAAAAATGAGGATCACCAGTTAGAATTAGGAACTCCTTTCCATAGGATTTGAATGCTGATCTACTCAGACTTTAGTGATGAAAACCATTATCACTTATATTTGCATAGTACTCTAACTTCTGTGTTCTATGATACGCTTTCTATAAAGTAGATAAGAAAGCATCACTGTTATTATTCTCATTTTATATATACGAACATGAAGTCTCTAACAGTTCAAATGTCTTGCTTGAGCAGGCACAGTATTCTGGCGGTATTCAAATCCAGGTAAGCTAACTAGACCCAACTGTGTCTCCAGACAGGATCACGTTACCTTCCAGACACTCAGGCCCTGAAGCGGAAAACAGCACCGTGCGCTGCAATGCGTGTGCAGCCCCACCCTCCCTTAGCCCAAATGCGTACCTATCAATATCACTAGCTAACCCTTATTTGCAAGGATACTGGCTGGTGATTTATAACACATAAAGGCAAATATATATAATTTTTCTCTATAATTGCTTGATATTGCTACACTTAAATATAAAGAGATTTGGGGAAAAAAGATGCAGTTGCTCCGAAGTTCATTTCAAGCACTGAATTAACAAGCCAGCTTCATTTATTGCTGATATGATTTCAATGTTTTTTAAAATTACCAAAGACAACTGGAAAAAGCTATTTAAGCCCTTTACAAAACCACTGTAACTACTCTTGCATATGTCAACCTAATAAAACAGCTAATGTAGCTCCTTTTTATAATGCATATGTAAACTTTTTTAAAAATTTCAAGCAGGTAATTTTATGTAGCCCTTTTCATGTTGTTCTTACTTTTACAATATCTTAACTAAATTTTTCATAGAAACTTAAAAAGGCTGAAAATTCAACCTTCCATCACATATACAGCCACTGACAAAAGGCAGTAATTTACTCTGCATGGAAAGTCAATTATTTTACATGACTGAAGTACAAAAGGAATACATATGAGTCCATGCTGATAAAACTAAATAACTTAGTAAGTATAACAATGAAAACCAGTATCACTTAAAGACGACAAATCTTCTTTACTGACCAACTTCAAATAATAAAGCAGGCATTCCACTTGTAAGAGGCACCACGTATGCCTGCCTCCTCACACTCAGAGCATCCTAGATTTTTTAACATGTTTCCAAAACATCACGTAGGGAGTAGGGAAAATCTATCTTTATAGCAGACAGACTGGCAAACAGTAACTTGGCCAAATGGTAAAAGACAACACAGGCAGTGATGTTATGTGGTTAATATATACACACTAACATAAAGGGAAAAGCAGAGCTTTCCACCTCCATCATATTCTTCCCAAAGATCATAATCCAAATTAAGCATGGTGGATGGTGTCTTTTGAAAGAGAAGAGCTTTCACGTGCCTACAGCCTCTGTCCTTACCAGGACCACACACAGGCTCTGCTCCCCACCTCTTCTACCAAGAACTTCCAGGGAAGGGCCTACAAGCTGCAGCTTAAAAAGCCCCTGGGTGCTTCCAGTGGGCATTCAGGTTTAACAGGTTGATGACACTATTTCTGTAAAGATAACATCTGTTTAATATTTAACGTACATGTTAAAGTTCTTAGAGAAGGGTTGAGGGCTTTTCATGGATTGCATGCCCAGCATGTACCAGGGTGAGGCTTTGATGCCCAGCACCTCCACTCCAAAGTATTACAGAACACTTGATTAAGAATTTAATTAATTAAAAAATAAAAAATTATTCACTTAGTTGTGACAAAAATATCTCATAATGTCAGATTTTAACATTAGACATAACTGGGGACACGGCATTCAGAAAATATCTATACTATTTAACTTTTCTGTAAATATAAAACTATTCCAAATTAAAGTTTGTTTTTAAAAAATAATCTACTCTAATTAGAATAACCAATCATACCATTCTGTTCAGCACCACTTTTCTTTAACTGCCTAAGAAGATTTCCACTTCCTCTCAGCACTGTCTTCAAAGCTCTCAAACCCCAATCATAATGCTGTTGAGGTGTCAAAAGTTCCCTGAAAGAAGTGAAAAGATTAGATCATCAAGGAGCCGTAAGAAATCTTGTCTTCACCACAGCCAAAGCACTACACAACGTAACTATTAACACACAGGAATGAAGACT